ACTCTTCACACAAATGGTCCAGTAGAGTCTTTGCTTTCTTCTGAAATTCACAAACTAGGCCTCCATCATCTGCGTGGCTTTCAACACTCTTCTAAGCTCCTACAGAACAGCTTGCTGAGCTCTCACTTCTAGCCCAAAGTTCCAAAGTCTTTAATAAGTCTTCCCCAAAGCAACATGGTCAGGTCTATCACAGCAATACTTCAATCCTGGTGACAATTTGGCTTAGTTTGGGTTACTATTGCTATGATGAAACACCATAAAATTAGTAAGCACATCTGGACTCATTTCTAATCTGTATGTGTTGTACATACTGAGAAACAGGAAGTGCAATTTCAGCTAAAACAATTAGTTTCTATTAAGTGAGACCATAGAAGACACAAGAGTGGGTATAGGGGGCTGAGTAAAGACATGTTAATCCTCAGGACCTGAGAGTGTGTTATCTACATTACAAAAAAGAATTTTAATTATCTATTTGTTTATTCTTGGAGACAGAGTTTCATGTAGCCCAGGCTGGTCTTGAAAATTTTATACAACCAAGAATAACTTTGAATTTCTTTCTTCCTTCCTTCCTTCCTTCCTTTCTTTCTCCCTTCCTTCCTTCCTTCCTTTCTTTTTTTTTCTTTTTCTTTTTTTTTTTGAGACAGTTCCTTTGTGTAGCCTCAACTGTCCTGGAACTGGCTCTGTAGACCAGGATAGTATCAAACTCACAGAGATCTGCCTATCTCTGCCTCCTGAGTGCTGGGATTAAAGTTGTGTGCTAACACCACCAGCTAACCTTGACTTTCTAATCTCCCTGTTTTTATCTCCCTGGTGCTGAAATTCCCAAGTGTTACAATTCCTGGCCCTGGGAATGGAACTTGAAAGCAACAAATTTGCTTTACATTATTTAATTATTATTTGTAAATTGTTATAGCCAAGATCATAAAATTGTAATCAGAGAAAGGGAGTGTCCTGGCTAGTTTGTTTGTTTGTTTGTTTGTTTGTTTGTTTGTTTTTGTCAATTTGACACAAGCTAGTGTCATCTTAAAGGAGGGAAGCTTGACTGAGAAAATGCTTCCATAAGATGGGGCTGTAGCCAAGCCTCCAAGGCATTTTCTTAATTAGCGATTGATAGGGGAAGGCCTAGACCATCCTGAGTTGGGCTATCCCTGGGCTGGTGGTCCTGGCTTGTATAAGAAAGCAGGCAGAGCAAACCAGGGGAAGAAGCCAATAAACAGCACCTGTCCATGGCCTCTGCATCAGATCCTGCCTCCAGGTTCCTGGCCTGTTTGAGTTTCAGTCCTGGCTTCCTTCAGTCACATACTACAATATGGAAATATAAGTCCAATAAACCCTTTCTTTTTCAACTTGCTTTTTGATCCTGGTGTTTCATCACAGCAATAAAGACCATAAGTAAGACAGGGTATAATTAAAAAACAGATGTTTTGCTGAGTTAGAAGCTTGCCTAGCTAGGAAAAATCTGACAGTTTTACTTGGGACCAGTGGCAGAGCAGTTAGTCCCCTAGAGACTCATATGTGGACAGCATGGAAAGTCAAAGTGAGGCCAAACCTACTCCATCTTGGGACCAGCCTCCATCTTAAAAGAAACTTGACCATAGCTAAACCCAAGCTGCACCCAAGTACCAGGAAGGACCCCATGGCTTGTCCTTGGCCCATACCCCATGGTTACTCTCTAGCTACTTCCTAGCAACAGTCAATCAAAGATTAGTCTGATTGTTTCAGATGTACTTTCAGACTGTTTGTGATTGATTGTTCATGGTTTTGCTTCAGAGCACCCACCTGTTGGCTTACAATAGTCATTCAATTAGAGATACTTGCCAGACTGGAAGCCCCCTTGCTTGCTCACCATTTCCTATAAAATTTTGTCTCTCTGAGAGTTCAGGGTTGCTTCACCAACCTGTCCTGCTGTGTCAGGGTCAGTGGTGAGTAAGCCCAAGCTCGAGCTTGTAATAAAGAGACCCTAGTGTGATTGCATTGGGATCGACTCTTTGGTGATCTTTTGGGGTTCATAAAACAGGCACAACAAAAGCACACAGACACTGGCAGAATCCCAGGGACTGGAGAGGAAGGATATATTGGTGTGTGTACACTGTGATAATGCAGATTAGGGGCAATAGAAACACCTTTTTAAAACTTTTTTTTAAACAATTCAGGAAGGTCAGATGTGTTCTATTCTGACTCCTGACTTTCTTTGGCCTATAGATGCAGATTGCTACCTTCTCTCTTACTCTTCAGTCTCCCTCTCCCTGACTGCCTCCTTCCTTTTAAATTTTTACTCCCTGCCTCTCTTTCTGTGTGAATATTTATATATGAGTGCACATGGCATGCAGGAAAGTCATAGGACACTTTGTAGGGGTCTGCCACATGGGTTCTGGAGATGAAAGTCATAAGCATTTACCCTGGAGCTGTCCTTGCTGCCCTTCATTTTGGTTTATAAAAATCAGAGTCAATACAGTCCATACTCACTGTATAGTTGGAAATAATCTTGAACCCTTGACTGTTATGCCTCCACCCCCTCTTAGAAATACAAGCAAGGACACCACACAGTCCAAATAGCCAGTTACCATCTTATTGTGTCCTTACCCCTAGTTTCTCTTTTATGTGACTCCACCATGGTGTCTCTTGCTGCATCTGTTTCCTCTCATGAAGGCACCGTACAGACTGTATTGCCTAACTCAGGACCTCAATTTAATTGGATCTCTTCTTTAAGCTCTCCAAATACAGTCACATTCTGAAGAACTAAGAATTAGGGCCTCAATGTATGAATTACGATAGGAGACAATTCGGCTTATAAAAAATGACTTACAGCCAGGCAGTGGTGGTGCAAACCTTTAATCCCAGCACTTGGGAGGCAGAGGCAGGAGGATTTCTGAGTTTGAGGCCAGCCTGGTCTACAGAGTGAGTTCCAGGACAGCCAGGGCTACACAGAGAAACCCTGTCTCAAAAAAAACCAAAAAAAAAAAAAAAAAAGACTTACAATTAGTGAAAATCCTTGAGAATCAGTCTGTGTGGTTAAGGTTGGAGACCTAAGGAAAACACAACAGCAGCCCAGGTTTGGTTGTTGGATGAGAGAAAGTGACACCACACCAACTTAAGTAAGATTGGCATGTAAACTGGGTGATTATATTATATCCCCAGGATTTTCCTTGTTTTGATAATTGTACTATGCTTATGTAAGATGCCACACTTGGGGAGGACCAAGCAAAGAGCATATGGTAGCTGAGCACTGTGGCCCTCCCTCCCGAGCCTGTAACCTTAGCTCTTAGGAAGCACCAGAAGGAGGATTAGGAATTTGAGGCTAGGCTGGGCTATGTGAGCTCTGACTCAAACAAAACAAAACAAATGAACAAGATTATATGGGTATTCTGTGTATATTTGTGTTTGTTTTCTTGTTTTGGTTTTTTAATAGGGTCTTGTTTTGTAACCTAGGGTAGGTGGACTTAAACTCTGGGCAATTTGTCTCAGCACTCTACGCTTCCTCAGCACTCTACCCTTCCGAGTGCAGGGATGAGAAGGCCTGTCATCACATCCAGCTTCCTTTGTATAATTTTTCTACATTTTCCCCAAGTCTGAAATTATTTCAAAATTCAATCACTGAGTTGGTGAGAGGATTTAGTAGCCTGACAACCTGAATTCAGTCCTCAGGACTTTACATAGTGAAAAGAAAGAAATGAAAATCGTCCTCCGATTTCCATCACCTCTCTCTTGTCTCTCAGTCTCTCTCTCTCTCTCTCTACACACACACACACACACACACACACACACACACACACACTAATTGAAATGGGCTGGAGAGATGGCTTAGTGGTTAAAAGCACTGGCTGCTCTTCCCAGAGGACGCAGGTTTGATTCCCAGCACCCACATTGTGATGGTGTGTAACTCTGTGGGCACTTAGTATGGTGATATACAGACAAAACATCCATACACATAAAGTAAAAATTAATGAATCTTAATAAATTTAATAAAGTAAAAATAAGTAGAAGGAAATATCTTTTTAAAAGTACTAGATTTTTTTTTAAAAAAAGAAAACCAATGAAATACAGTGAACAAACAGAAGACAGAGGGAGTGTTGGAGGAGAGAGGCTGGCTATCACGGGAGGAGGGAAAGGCAGAAAAAGACAAGGTCAGAGGTTCTACCTGCTCCCCAAATGCTCACTGACCCTTGTTTCTGGAACTGATACCATGGGTCTCCAAGCCTGTTTTGGGGTGTCGGGTCACTAAGACACAAGCTGGAGGGCAAAATAGGCACATCCAGCACTATTTCATTCTTAATTTCTGACATTCTGCCAATAGTGCCACAGTAAGATGATGTATTGTGTGCTAAAAGAATGAATTCTCTGTATGCCAGCATATCCAGGACATTGACATTTTGGTAGCTGACTTAGCTTTCTTTCTTACTTTTTATTGCAGTAGTGGGGAACTGAAGCCAGGGCCTTCTGCATGCTACTCAGTCAGTACTACAGAGCTTCATATCAGCTCCTCATCTTTAGAGATGGGATTTAGGTCTCCCAAAATTTACCACTTTATGTTATAGACCCAATGGCATAAATCTGTAGTCCCAGAATTTGGGAGGTGGAGGTAGGAGGATGGGAGTTCAAGGTCATCCTCAGCTACACAGGGAGTCGGGGCTCAGCCCGGAACAGGTGAGACCACGTCTCAAACAAACCAACCCCGATTTTTAAGTGTAGGATCCAGTGGGTTTGGACATATTCATAAAGTCGTGCGGCCATTTCCAATGCCCAGGTGGCGGCCACTCTTTGTTCTTACAATGCACAGCCTTTGGGAATGACAGATGCGTTTTCTATCTGAGTGTCTCTCCTCCTGGAGATTTCATGGAAATTGGCAGATTCCCTGTGAACGCTGCACACCACAGAAGCTCCGCCCTCTCGGTGGCCAGCTGTCATTGGATTGGACGCGCGGGTTGGGTGTGCACAGGGGTGTCGCTCTGGCGCCTGCAGTGCAGTCAGGTGTGCTGGCGCCGAGGGCACCCGCGGCGGGTATGGCGAGCTGGTGGCGCGCGTTTCCACGAGCGGCGCGTCGCTATCCGTGGCCCACTAACGTGCTGCTCTACGCCGGGCTCTTCTCCGCCGGTGATGCGCTGCAGCAGCGACTGCGGGGCGGCCCAGCCGACTGGCGCCAGACGCGGCGCGTGGCCACTTTGGCCCTGACCTTCCACGGAAACTTCAACTACATGTGGCTACGCCTGCTGGAACGCGCGCTGCCAGGCCGCGCGCCGCGCACGGTCGTGGCAAAGGTGCTTTGCGATCAGACTGTCGGAGGGCCAGTAGCCCTCTCTGCCTTCTATGTCGGTGAGGGGCCGGGGCAGGGCACTGGCTCAGGGGTGGGGGTGGGGCGGGGATCGGGGAGACCAGAGATCTAAAGCCATCGGGGCTGAGGCAGGAGGTGACAACTCTGTGGCCCGGGAATTAGGGCTGGTAGGAAATTCTGAAGCAGAGATCGGAGGTCTGGACATTGAGGGACTTGAGGTTTCCGTGAGGAAGAATTTGGGGGCCGCTGGCCGGGGAACTGGCGATCCCTAGTGCCAGGGATTCAGAAGGGTTGGTGTTGGAGCTGAGAGGCTGAGGTTGACAGAGTTCAGGAGGGAGAGGAGTCTCTTTTCCTCCAGAAAGAGGCATATTCAAGAGACCCTAGCTTAGCCCCATAGCATCCCTGGACTCCACCTGTTCTAGAAAAGCCACACCTGAGGCTTTGCGGCCAACAATCAACCCAAAAGTGATTCTGGGGGCAGAGTGGGTGGAATCTTCTATTATAGAAAAGTCATTTCCAGGGTCTTAGTCTTGCTTGGGCAACAAAATTTCCCCTAGGGTGGGGATCACACAGAATGAGCGGGCTTGTGTACCTATGAGAAAGCTATTTTCACGCTGGGCTGGATGGACGGGCTTTGGGAATCTTTTCTGCCTGGTTTACTGAAAACAACAAAAGGTTTCATGATTTTTTTCTCTCCTTAGCAATTTCTATACCCTAAAAGGCAGTGGCAGCTGGGGAGGGCCACTCTGTGTTTGGAGAATCTTCTCCTGGGACTAGACCTGACCTAGGCATTGGGGATGGTAGATACCAGCAACTGAGCCTAAAAGCCCCCCTCTGGCCTCAAGCTGTGCCAACTGAACTATATTTGCAGTCTTCAGTTTGAAGACAAGGGTTCACTAAGTTGCTCAGGCTGGCCTTGAACTTGTGGTTCTCCCACTTAAGTCTTCCAAGTTGCTGGGATGACAATCTCACCCCACTAGACTCAGCTTGTTAATGTCTTCTTAAACTGAACGAAAGTAGGCAAACCATCTAGAAGAAACATACCCCGCTCTGGGAGATATTTTAGGGAGTTTGTATTCACTTCCTTTCCTTCTATAACCCACAGGAAACATCAAAAAACCTGATGGCCTGTTATAGTCTCAGCTAATGCCATGGCTCAGAAGGTCAGTGAAGTTAGAATAGAGAACCAGAGAGAAGAGACTTCTGATTTGCCCAAGCTTTGTGCCTTGTCGTCTCGAGTGATCTCCCAGCCAGCTTTGAAAAAAACATCCCAATACTTATTGTAGCTTGGTACAGCGGTGAAGGTGTTAGGAGCCTGGACCTTAAGACTTGATGTGCTAGATTCCTACTTAATCTTTGATCTACCACTTCGGTGGATGTTCTCATAGTTCCCATGTCAGATAATGAGGACACAGGCATGGAGGGTTTGGAAGTTCACCAGAAGACAGCATGATCCAGGCTTTTAGCCGTGCTCTTCATCTTGATATACACAGTGGTTGTATGTACGATCACTCTGAGACTAGAAAACAGCGCTGTCCCAAGGGATAGAGATGCCTAGGATGAAGCATCTGAGGCCTTCTGACATATCACCTGGCTAGACTGTTGCTGTGTCTTGCTGTCCGATTTCTTGTTCAGTCTCCTCTGCTTTATGATGGGAACATGGGTATGTGAACTGGAAGTTTAAGGTGCTACTTGAAAACTGATAGCCAGGTGTTGCCCTGTGCCAGGCCTGCCTTGGGAAAGGATGGATTAAGGAGTGGGACACCTGGGCAGGTTCTTGCTATTAGCCTCCTTGAACACTTTATTTTTAGACAAAAATCATTCTGTATAGTGCAGTCTGGCCTTGAACTCACAGTGCTCCTCCTGCTTCAGCCTCTTGAATGCTAACTTTGTAGGACCACCATGATTAGCTAACTAGCTTCAGCGTCTTGATTGCTAACTTTATAGGCCCACCATGGCTAGCTAGCTGTCTTTTCCTCCTTTTAACGCTTCTCATCTCAGTGAACTGTTAGGAGGGTCAAATGATGTGGTACATGTAAGTGTTTGGCGTTTACCTGGGTAAGAGCACTACACACAGTATTTCCAGGGATTTGTTTTCAGTCTTGTTCTAAGGGTCTCCTGCAAATGACCAAAAACCCTTATCCTGCACTCCACCCACACCCCCAGTCAGGGTGGTCAGAGAATTGTTACACATTTTTTTTTTAAGTAAGGCTTTGATTCTGTTTCTTGGATGCCAAACTCTGATTAGAATATACTGATAGGACATGTGTAGTTGCTAGAATGTCCAGGATCCATAGTTTTCATTTTTCTTTTTTAAAAGGAATGAAGTTAGTGTGGGAGGACAGCATGTAGCTCAGCAGTAGAGGGCAGGCGTGCCATGCTTGGGCCCTGGGCTTAATCTCAGCACAAATAAAAAAGAAGACAAGGAAAAGAACAAAAAAAAGGAAGAAAAAGGAAAAAGATTTTTTTTTCACAATTTGGGGCTGGGCTGCAACTTAATTGGCAGAGTGCTTTTTAGCAACTGGGCTCCACCCCCAGCAACATGGAGCTGGGCATAGTGGTTCCCACCTGCAGTCCCAGCCCTTGGGAAGCAGAGGCAGGAGGATCTCTTGTAAGTTTGAGGCCAGCCTGGTCTAACATAGTGAGTTCCAAGACAACCAAAGTTACATAAAAAAGAAAGAGTTGTAAAAGAACAGGGTTCAATTTCCAGGCGCTCACAACCACCCACAAAACTGTGGTGCACGGACATATATATATATGCAAAAACACTCAAATACATAACATAAACAAATCTAAGACTTTTAAAAAAATACTTAAGAAACAAAAACAAATAAGGAGACGGAAAGATGGCTCAGCTTGTAAAGGCACTTGCTGGCAAGCCTGACAACCTGAGATGACCCTTGGAACCTACACAGTGGAAAGAGAGAACTGACCCCAGCAAGTTGTTCTCTGACCTCCACACTCAGGCAATGGCAAGTGCAAGCACACACCATCAATCAATCAACTAACCAATGTAAAACAAAACATAAACAAGAAAGTCACCAACAACCTCATTAGCCAGTATAGTATTGGCTTTCATTTTGTGGCTTCTTCGTTTAGATAAAGGATCATTTTGCTGTACCTTTTGTACCTGGCTATTCTCACTTCCTATTTGGTGTCCTTTAAACATTAGTTTTAAAATAAAGATAGTCTTGTTTTCTTATTGGGTCAACAGTAACATGTGAATGATTGGAGCTTGATATGCCTGGATGATGTTGGAATGTGAAATTGAACACACATTGTTATACAGTAATTATTTCTATTTCTAAAATCCTTTGGGTGTGTTTCTGTAAACAGGAATGAGCATTCTCCAGGGAAAGGATGACATATTTTTGGACCTGAAGCAGAAATTCTGGAATACATATAAGGTAAGACAGGCTTCTGAAAATATAATCATATCTTTTAAATATTCTAAACATTAAAGAATACTTATTTGAGGGACTGGAAAGAAGGCCTAGAGAGTAAAGGAGTTTGCTGCCAAGCCTGAGGACCTAAGTTCCATCTCGTTGGGCTACATAGTGGTAGGAGAGAACTGACTCTCACAGTTGTTCCTGAACTCTACATACTTTCTGTGGCCTGCCTGCATGTGTGCATGAGTGTGCCATCATGTGAGTGCACAGACAGACAGACACGTGCGCACACACACACACACACACACACACACACACTAAATGAATGTGATTTTTTTAAAAAAGGAATACTTTGATACAATTCTTTTTTCCCCCCACTGAAGATTGAACCTATGCCTAAAACCAGACAAGACTTTTACCACTGAGTTCCATGCTTGCCCCGCATTTGCTTTCATTGAGATAAGGTCTCATATATTCCAAGCTGGCCTTGAACTCTTGATCCTCCTGCCTCCACCTCCCAAGAGCTGATTATAGACTTATGTCATAGTGCCCAGCTCCCTAGCTTTTTAGAATTAATAACAATATTTATTAATAATAACAGTATTTTTTTAATAATAAGGGTAGAATGAGGGACTTGGGAGTGTGGAGATCAGAGGACAGCTTGTGGGAGGTCTCTCCTTCCACTATGAGAATTTCAGGGAATTCAGACACAGGCAATCAGACGCAGCAGTAAGCTCCGTTACCCACTGAGCCTTCTTGCTGGCCCTCCTAGCTTGTTTGTTATTCTCTCCTCCCTCTACCCTCTCCTCTCCTCCCCTCCCCCTTTCTTTTTCTTCCTCTTCCTCCCTTACTTACTCCCTCCTCACCTTCCTTCCATCCTTTCTTTCTTGAATTCTGATCTCTATAATTTGACCAGATGCATGTAGCTCAGACAGGCCTTGAATTTCTGATCCTCTTGAGGAGCTGAGGTTACAGGTCTATCCCACTAGGACTAGCTTGAAAAAGCTATGCTTAAATTAGGGGTTATAGTTTGGCTGATGGGAATCCAATATTTTGACAAAGAGCTATCTTAATTTTGTTGCATTTTATTTTGAAAATAAACATCTTGTGATGTTGCCCAGACTGGCAGATGACTTTTGGGCTCAAGCAGCCTTCTGGCCTCAGCCTCCCAAGTAGCCAAGACTGTAGGTTGGTGCACCAATGTTTCTACCTTCAATATATTTGGACCAATAAATTCCAGGAGGCTTCCTACATCTCTGCTTCTTAGGGACAGGAAATAAACCCTATCACTGCATTCAGGCAGGTGTTTATGATGATTTTTGACTTCATTAGATTTATTCTTATCAGCAACTACAATTTATTTAATAGATTTCCAAACCTATTTGCAAAATAGGAATTGTAGGCTGTGGATCGGCCACGGAGTCACTGTTTCCAGGTGTGAGTCCTGGTGAAAAGAACTTCATGTCACAAAGGTGTTTCCTAGAAGGGTGATGTTTCCCAGGATTGTTCCTAGTGAAGTAAGTCCCCTGCAGTGTTTTTTATTCAGTACAAAGATGTATGTTGCTGTTGGACTGACAACTGTCATGTGTTCAGTGAAGGCTTACTGTCTTCAGACAAAGTCAGGTTCAGTTCTCAGCTCTGACCCAGCACTAGTTTGATTCAACTAATAACAATCAGGCAGATAAAATTTCAGTATTCCAGAATATACAGCTAATCTTTTACATGTACTTAGTCTCCTGTCCAGAGCAGAGCTGAGAGATAGAGGTATAGCTTGATGGTAGAAGTATTTGTTTAAACCGGGCGGTGGTGGTGCACGCCTTTAATCCCAGCACTTGGGAGGCAGAGGCAGGTGGATTTCTGAGTTCGAGGCCAGCCTGGTCTACAGAGTGAGTTCCAGGACAGCCAGGGCTATACAGAGAAACCCTGTTTCGAAAAACCAAAAAAAAAAAAAAAAAAAAAAAAAAAGTGTTTGTTTAGTGGGAGCAGGGAAAGGGATCTCTCAGGGTAACTCCAACAGTTAAAAACACAAAACCCAATACAATGTGAAACCACATTGAGCTATCACCCACAGTTTCTAGAATCTTCTGAAGGATGATACTGAGCCCCAGAACCAGCATTTTCCATTAGGTACTTGAAGGTAGAGGGGAGATTTGAAGCCACAGAGTCCCCTGGATCCCTCTAGTTAGGGACATCTTCTTAAAGGAGGGTGTTTAGAGCTCTTGTTACTTCTCCTGAGGTAGAAATTGTGCTTCCACAGAGAGTTTGGAATGAGATTTTCTTGTTCTTTATTTTAGAAGGGAGAGTGAGGTTAGAAGTACACATGTCTGACATGTTTTATTAATTTACATATTTTTGCTTTTGTTGTTTGTTTTGAAACATGGTCCCACTTGTAGCTCAGGCTGGCCCAAACTTACTGTGTAGAGCAATCCTCCTGGCTGAGCCTCCTGAGTGCTGAGATTATAGGCAATATAGGCCACCACACTCTGTTGTACATCTAAAGTTAGGAAAAAAAGCAGGAAGCAGGATTGGAAGTACAGGGCATTGGTGGTCTTCTCTCTTAGGCATAGAGTCCTGGGAATCCTGACACATCTTATGTTTTTATCCTTTTTCATGGCTGGGCTCAGATGCAGGTCCTCACATAGGTTAGGCAAGTGACATACCATACCCTATCTACCTACCATAGTCTTATTTCTGTCTTTGATATTGTTTGTTTGTTTGTTTGTTTATTAAAACAAGGTCTTATGTAGCTAAGGTTGTCCTGGATCTCGTTATGTAGGTGAGGAGATTTGAACCCAGGGCTTTGTGCATGCTAGGCAAACCTTCTGTTAACTGAGCCACATGCACAGCCCTAGGGAGTGACCTTGGGTCTCAAGCATGCTAGACAGGCATGCATCCAGCTCTTTTTTCACCACTCACTGTTTTCTCTTCTCTTTTTGTTACTAGTATTTTTTACTTATTCACTTTGCATCCCACTCACTGGCCCCCTTCTAGGCACCCTCTTCTCCCATCACCACAACCCTTCCCCCATCCCTCTCCCCTTCTCTGAGCTGGTAGGGCTCACCACCCCCACCCAGTATTACCCCATACCCTGGCATTTCAAGTCTCTGCTAGGTCAGGAACTTCCACTCCCACTGAAGCCGGACAAGGCAGCCCAGCTAGAACATCCCGCAACAGCTTTTTCCAGTTGTTCCGGACCCACATGAAGACCAAGCTGAACATCTGCTACATACGTGCAGGGAGGCCTAGGTCTAGCCTGTGTATATTCTTTGGTTGGTGGTTCAGTCTCTGAGTGCTCCCAGGGGTCCAGGTTAGTTTACTCTGTTGATCTTCCTGTGGAATTTCTATCCTGTTAGAGGCCGCAATCCTTCCTCCTGTTCTTCCATAAGAGTCCCCAAGCTCCATCCACCATTTGACTGTTGGTGTCTGCATCTGTCTGACTCAGCTACTGGGTGGAGGCTCTCAGAGGGCAGCCATGCTAGACTCCTGTCTGCAAGCATAACAGAGTATCATTAACAGTGTCAGAGATTGGTGTTTGCCCATGGGATGGGTCTCGGGTTGGGCCTGTTATTGGTTGGCCATTCCCTCAGTCTCTGCTCCCTCTCCTGTGCCTGCATTTTTTGTAGATAGGATGAATTTTGGGTCAAAAGCTTTGTGGGCGGGTTGGTATCCCTATCACTCCATTGGGGAACCTCCAGGAGGTTCACCACTCACTTTTAAAAAGAATTTTTTTTTTATTGGATACTTTATTTACATTTCAGATGTGATCCCTTTTCCCCATTCCCCTCAACCCAGGAACCCCCTATCTCATCCCCCCCTCCTGTTTCTTTGAGGATATGCCCCCACTCACCCTCCAACTCCCACCTCCCCACCCTCAAATTCCCCCACACTGGGTCATCCAGCCTTCACTGGACCAAGGATCTCCTCTCCTACCTATGCCTGACAATGCCATCCTTCCCTACATCTACAGCTGGAGCCATGGGTCCCTCCCTATGTGCTCCCAGGCTGGTAGTTTAGGCCCTGGGAGCTCTGGTTGGTTGGTATTGTTGCTCTCCCCATGGGGCTGCAAACCCTTTCAGCTCCTTCAGTTTTCTCTCTCACTCCTCCATTGGAAACCCCATGATCAGTTCAATGGTTAGTATGTGTTAGGCTCTAGCAGACCTCTAAGGAGACAGCTATAAAAGGCTCCTGTCAGCATGCACTTCCTGGCATCCACATCAGCATCTACCTTTGATGACTGCCCAAGGGATGGATACCCAGGTGGAGCAGTCTCTGGACGGCTCCTCCTTCAATTTCTGTCTCATGCTTTGTCTCCATATTTGCTCTCATGAATATTTTGTTATTTTTTCTAAGAAGGGCCAAAGCACCCTCACTTTGGTCTTCCTTCTTCATGGGCTTCATGTGGTCTCTGAGTTGTATCTTGGCTATTTCGAGCTTTTGGGTTAATATCCACTTATCAATGAGTGCATACCATGTGTGTTCTTTTGTGATTGGGTTACCTCACTCAGGATGATATTTTCTAGTTCCATCCATTTGCCTAAGAATTTCTCGAATTCATTGTTTTTAATAACTGAGTAATACTCCATTGTGTAAATAAATATACCACATTTTCTGTATTCATTCCTCTGTTGAAGGACATCTGGGTTCTTTCCAGCTTCCGGTTATTATAAGTAAGGCTTCTATGAACATAGTGGAGCATGTGTCCTTGTTGTATGCTGGAGCATCTTCTGGGTATATGCCTAGGAGTGGTATAGCTGGGTCCTCAGGTAATGCTGTGTCCAATTTTCTGAGGAACCACCAGACTGATTTCCAGAGTAGTTGTGATTTCCAGTGGTTGTACTTGCAATCCCCCCAACAATGGAGGAGTGTTCCTCTTTCTCCACATCCTCGACAGCATCTGCTGTCACCTGAGTTTTTGATCTTGGCCATTCTGACTGGTGTGAGGTAGAATCTCAGGGTTGTTTTGATTTGCATTTCCCTGATGACTAAGGATATTGAACATTTCTTTAGATGCTTCTTGGCCATTCGAGTTTCCTCAGTTGAGAATTCTTTGTTTAGCTCTGTACCCCATTTTTTCACCACTCACTTTTGAGAAAGGGTCTTACTAAGTTGCTCAGGCAGACTTGGAACTTGCAGTCCTCCTGCCTCAGTCCCACAAGTAGCTGGGACCACAAGCCTGTGTGTCTTTCCCTCCATTCTTTTTCCTCTTCCCTTATTTCCCCTTCCCTGGCCTCCTCTTTTCCCTTCCCCCTTTTTTTTCTACAGTGCTGGGACTAGAACTCAGAGCCTTGTGCATGATAGTTGCTAGGCAGCTGCACCATATCCTAGCCTCTACACCCATTTCTGATTCTGCCTGAGTTGCCTACTGTGCTGGTCGTTGGGTGATAAGTCTCCCCAGCACTGGTGCTGGCCAGGCGCTGCTCAGCACGGTATTGTGAGCCTGGGGTTACTCTTCACTCCCAGCTACATCTTTATTGTGGGTATGTATTCTGGGTTCTTCTTTTTCTTCCAGCAGTTTATAATTCATTACTATGTTTAATTATTTTGGGTATTCTCAAGCATTGCAGACTTGGTCAGCGGGAAGTACTTTGAGTTGATTTCTGTATCCCAGCAGCATTTCCTGTCTTTTATATATATAGTCTACCTCTCAAGTCCTAGGATTAAAGATATAACACCATGCCTGGCTCATGGACTTTTTTTTTTTAATTACTTCATAAAGTGTGGTGACTCATACAACTCCAGTATTCAGGAGGCTGAGGTAGGAAGACTGCCATGAGTTTGAGACTAAACTGAGCTATAGAACAAGACCCAGTTACAAAAGAAAGTAAGTAAAGATAAAACGATTTTAAAAATTAAGAGGTTGGCAAGATGGCTTAGTGGCTAAAGGTGCTTTCCACCAGACCTTAGGTCCTGAGTTCAGTCTCCAAGACTCCTGAAATTATCTTCTGACCTACACACACACACACACACACACACACACACACACACACACTAAGTAAATGTAAGAAGTTTGTAATGTCAGCCTATCTTGTTATGTACCAAGAGGTAGCTTAGATGAATTGTTTGCATATTGTCTCATAAAGAATTGAAAGAATTGTTTGGATAAGCCAGGCATGGTGGCATATGCCTTTAGTCTCAGCAGTGGGGAGGCAGAAGCAGGTAGATCACTGCGAATTCTAAGCCAGCCTGGTCTGCATAGTAACCAAAGCTTCAGGCCAGCCAATGACACACAGTGATATCCTATCTCAAAAAAAAATTTTTTTTTGGTTTGGAATATACTTTAAAGAATTCACTAATAAATGTATTGTGTATATTATATACTGATACTCACTTGGAAATTATAGTGTATAAATTATATGTGGTTATTTTTAAGGTGCTGATTTCTTCCAGAATCTCTGGCTGACTTTTCATTCTGCACCTATGATTATAACCAATAACCATTGGCTTACAAACTATGCCTTCAAGTCTCTTGCCCCCTCAAGGCTTCAAACAGTCTGCATTTAATCCACTCAGAGTCCAATCCAGTCCTAGCTGGGCACCCTACCTGCCTGGCATTGCTTATGCTCTTACAGAGTGAACTATGTGTTTGCTTTATGTACCTTTACAGCATTCTAACAAGACTTTTCTTCATTCCAGAGTGGTCTGATGTACTGGCCTTTTGTGCAGGTGAGTGCCAAGCTTTATAGAATCTGGGTCTGGGCCTTGGTACAGTGGTAGAGCATTTGCCTAGTAGGTGCTGCATCCTGAATTCAGTCCCTAGTGTGGAATGAAAACAAAACCCAAACCAGTTTCTGTTGCCTGTGTCTTCCTAACAGACTCTGTCTGTATTGCAGCTGACTAACTTCAGCCTTGTCCCTGTGCACTGGAGGACAGCATACACAGGACTCTGTGGCTTCCTCTGGGCCACCTTCCTGTGCTTTTCACAGCAGAGTGGCGATGGTACCGTGGAGTCCATGTTCATCTTCCTTCGAAGGAAGGAGGCGGGTGACAAGTCCCCAGAGAAGTGAGGAGTCAGACTGCCTTCCGAGGACTCAGTTCTGTCTCTCCCAATCACCTGCAGCAGGCCTGCTTTACTGACCAGTTGTGGATTCCATCATGAAGACATTCCGTAGGCTCACTTGATTTGAAATTATCAATTATTATTTTAATTTTTATCCAAACCTTTCCCAGTCATTCTAGTCTGAAGGTCTTATTCTCTGGTATTTTCATGTCTTTAATGCTTTGGTTAAAAACTGCAACAATGACCTGTGACATTTTAGAATTATTAATATTTTTATTCTAATATTATATGGCTAGTTGAATTTTTAAAAAAAACTCCAGTTTTGATTGTATTTCTAGCCTAAACTCTCAGTCTATTTCCTACACACTGTGGAATCTGATTGCCTTTTGTTCTTATAGTAAATTTCTATGCATATAAAATTCAGTCAAGGTTGAATAATCAGTCCCCACCCCAGATAATTTATAATAATGTATTATAATGCCAACACTAAAATTCTGTAAGTAGATGATTTTAATCTTCAAAAAGGAATAGTGTTGGATATATTCTGTATAGAATATTTTATTGATACTGTCTACTTGTTTTTTAAAAGAAGGATCTCTCTTTGTGTAGCTCAGGCTGCTCTGGAACTCATTAGATACCCCAGCGAGGCCTCAGCTCTCCAAGTGCTGAGATTACAGGCATGAGCCAACATGTCTTTCTCTTCTGTTTTTATATTATACCATTCAAGTTCAGATTTTTTAAATTGATGTCTTCTAGCTTTGAGAAGATACAGTTGATCAAATGCCCTAATTCCTACATATATGAAATAAAATATTTGGTTTCTAAATGAACTACAGCAAATGCAAATTCTAGAAAACTAATCATTTCTTTCCTCTCTAAGGAAGAACTCTAATACTAGACCAGTCTACACAGTTTGTAGCAAACCTAAGCGTCTGCATTCCAAATATTGGGATTACAGACATGAGCCACCATGCCTGTCTTTGTGTGTATGTGTGGTACTAGGGGTGGAACCAGGGTCTTGCACAGACAAGTGCTCTGCTACTGGCTGTATCCCAGGATCCTGATACTAGTCTTTTATAACTCAGTGCTTTAAAATTCTTTATACTTTAAAGTGGACACAAAAATGAGAGCAAGTTGTTCACATTTATTCAGTTTGTCTAGTCTCAGCTAGCCACCTTCAGGTTTCAGAGTTATTCGAATACCCAGGTCTTGACGTGTGTCTGTCTTCTAATAACCACACATGGCAGTGTGTACCTGTCTACTCAGAAAGCTAATGGAGAGGATCATTTCAGCCCAGGAGTTTGAGACTGGACTGGAAAAATACAGCAAATCTTTGTCTTAAAACTACACATGCACACAAAAAAAGTAAAACTGTGAATGTCTTAAGTAATTTCAGCAATCTCACCTGAAATCACCCCCATGGCTCTGTTGCGTCTACTGGCATGCAGGACAAATTCTGAGACAGGAAACACTGAGTTCCGAGTTTATCTTGTGAATGTATAATGTCAATTTTATAATTCATTCTTAAATTTCTAAGCAATTAATTTATATGGTTTATAATATGTTTGTAAAAATTATAAGCATGTACCTTCTAAGGGTCTAAGTTATGGAATGTAATAGAAATTGTTGGGAAGGTACGAAGGTATATCCCTGTATCTTCACTTGTTAATTGCTGTGCCCTAAGCAACTTGCTGGCAGGATTTGAGTATTGTCATTTTTATGGGCCATTGCCAGTTTTCTAAGTGTAAATGTTTGTCCTTCCCACCTGCCCCAAAAGAAGGTTCTCTGAGATTATCATATTAAAAGACAAGCTGGCTGGCGTGATGAATGTCAAGCAGCCCTTAATGCCAAAGGTCAACCTAAGGTAAGATTGACTGGGTGTTGTCCTGCTGCTGGTTGGTTCAGACTGGAATGTGGCTTTTTGTATAATAAATAAAAAGCTGACAGCTGGAGCTAGGGCAGGAAGTATGGGGCATAGCTTCTGTGCAGACAGACACATAGGCAGATATGCAGGTATGGAGAGATGCAGGGGGATTTGGAAGGAGGCAAAAGGGAGGGAGGGGGCAGAAGGGAGATGGATGGAGCTGAGACCATGAAGTGAGAACCACATGGAGGAATGGGGTGGTGGTGGTTTGAATATGCTTGGCCCATGGGAAGTGGCACTATTAGGTATGGCTTGTTAAAGGAAATGTGTCCCTTTGGGGGTGGGCTTTGAAGTCCTATGCTCAAGCTCTACCATGTAAGGAGAGACTCCTCCTGATTGCCTGCAGGAGAGAATCCCCTTCTGCCTGCCTTCAAATCAAGATGTAGAACTCTTAGTTCTTTCTCCAACACCATGTCTGTCTGTATGCTGCCATGTTTTCTGCCTTGATGATAATGGACTGAACCTATGAAACGGTAAGACAGCCAAAATTAAATGTTTATAAAAGTTGTCTTGGTCAAGGTGTTTCTCTTCTCAGCAATAAAACCCAAACTGAGACAGATAGTGTAAGGATCTGAAAATGGCTGAGGGAAGACTCCAGAGTCAAATAGTATGCAAAGAAAAAGAGCATTTATTCTGTAGAAAAAAAAAATCAGCATGCAGGGGTCAATCATTCATCAAAATGGTAACAATGGAGGAGCTTGCAGGCCCCTTTTATACAGGGCTGGGGACTGTCTAGAAAGATTAGGTAATCTCTAATGTGATTGGCAGGGACCAAAGCGGTAACATTAGTACAATTTTTATTGGCTATTATGTTCTATATTTAGAGAGTAGGTTAGGTAATCTAAAATTTCATTGGTGGGTGCTAGGGAGGTCACATTGGTCAGCTTCTGATTGGCTTCTGCCAGGTGGACAGAGGTCTCTCATTTCTATGTCATGAATGTTTAACCACAGGACAAGATAAGGCTGACCAGCACAGATGGCCTATCCTGAGATATTTTCCCATTCTTGTGGTTCCCAGGCTGTTTTTTTGGGAGGGGATTTGATGACTTTCTTTCTGGAATTTATGGTCTGTTTCTGGAGCTGGTGACTTATGCCTAGTTCTGAAGAGGTCAGCTTAGGGCCTTTGGAAAATCCACCAGGAATTTCTTCTTCCCAGAAGAGAGAGGTCATAGAACATGTAGGCACCCCTCCCCTCTGGAAGGGAGAGGCTGATTACATTCTCAGGAAGACCACAGGAAGACCACCTGCAGATAAGGGAAGCCCAGACACATAGACACATTACTCAGGGCAGATTGACCATCACCCCATCCAGATAAGGGAAGCCCTTGCTACCTCATTCCCTAAGGACCAATCAGTTTAAAAGTCACACTGTTCTGCCAATCACATTGTACCTAATGGCTGTTGCTCTTTTCTACCCCTGACAACTGTATAAAAACTGGCCAAACAGTCTGTCCAGGATTTTCACCTCTTCTTTGGATGCAGGATGGCTCTAGCACACTGGAACAATAAACTCCTCTTGCTTTTGCATTGATCTCTGGCTCTGTGTGGTTCCCTGGGGAGGAGGGGTGGAGGTAGGGCATCCCTGGTAGCTAAGGCTTGTTAGAGTCTTACAGTTCCTGGGACTAGTGACTTTCCTTTTGAAACCAGGCCTGGTCCTAAAATGGAGACAAATGAGATTTATGTCAACCTTTCAATAGGATGGCAGAGAAGTTAGATAGCTAGCTGAGAGACTGCTCCAGCAAAGGGTCAACAGCTTAAACTATATAGACTCTGTGTCTTAACTATATATCAAGTGAAAGTCCCACAATAAGATATCAATGCATTTTACATTGGGGCAGTAGAAAGAACATTTCTTGTTGACTGAATGCTTTTAAAAGTTGGATGGGTATGGAAGCCTGCCTATAATCTCAGTGCTTGGTAGGTAGAAATGGTATTCCTGGGGCAAGGTGGCTCTAGCTCAGAGTTCAGTGGCAGACATTGTATCAGTGGATTGGTTTGAATGAGAATGGTCCCATAGGCTCATATATTTAATCATCAGGGAGTGGCTGTATTGGAAAAGATTAGGAGACATGGTCTTGTTGGAGTAGGTGTGGTCTTATTGGAAGACATGTGTCATTGGGAATGGGCTTTGAGGCTTTTAAATTCCAAGCCAGGCCCAGTCTCTCTCTCTCTCTCTCTCTCTCTCTCTCTCTCTCTCTCTCTCTTCCTACTGCCTGTGGATCCAGTTGAAGAACTCTTGGCTACTTCTCCAGCACCATGCCTGCCTGTATGCCACCATGCTTCCCACTATGAGGATAATGGACTAAACCTATGAAACTATAAGCAAGTCCCAATGAAATGCTTTCCTTTCTAAGAGTTGTGGTCATAGTGTCTCTTCACAGCAATAGAACACTGACTAAGACAATCACTAATGTGGAGAGAGATAAAAGAAGGTACTTTATGTCAACCTCCGATCTCACGTGTGGACATTCACACATACGTGCATACTACCTTCACATACACACAAATTAGAAACACACACACACACACACAAGATGATGAGTAACTGACCTCTGACTTGACACATATGCACACAAATATATAAA